CCTCAGGCTCCCAAGTAGCTATGGTTACAGGCATGAGTCACTGTGCCCAGCTCCAATCCTCAAAGCTCTCTAACCCTGATGGGACAATAGCATGTGAGCAGGAGGCCAACCCATGGGCTTGTGGTGCTCCTGATGCCCCAGGAGCACAGAATCCCAGTGGACATGAAGGCATACCCATGACCAAAACAGCAGGTACCAGCCCTGCCATGCTTCCCAGGTAAGCAGACACAAGCATCCAGCAGAGGGCAAGAGCATCCTAAGAAACACAAGCAGCCAAGAACCCCTGCCCTGTGGATGTCTTCTCCATCGATAGCATCTTCTCCTTCAGACCTGGGGCTCTACGCACTGCACTCAGGATGGGGCGAGGGAGGGAAGGAAGGAGCAGTGCTGTGAAGGCTGGCCGGAAACCAGCACGGGAACCACAGGCCACCACTTCCAGATTCAGCTGTGGGACAAGCTCCCTGCCCACCAAGAGCTCACGGCTCCGGGACCAGGCCCTCCTGAGGTGACACCAAGAGGCACAGGAAGGCGAGTGCCCTAGGTTACTCCAAAACCAGTGCGCACTTCTTCCCTGCCGCATTGCCAACTGGGAACTTTCATTTAGAATTCAAGAAATAAGGGAAGAGGGAAGGATAGGTGGCCAGGCTCTCAGGGTACCCAAGCTGCTTCTGGGTTTTGCCCCTCCCCCCGCCCCCGCCATTATATCCCCGCTCTTCCTTTTAGGGCACAAACATGGAACAACAGCATACAACCATTTTAATTACCATGAAAAAATTCCCAACCCTCCCTTCTTCCAGATATCTCCCTGCACAGGTCAGGTTACATATCTGAGGAGTAGCAGTCCTGACACCTTGACCCCCGCCTTGGGGCCCCACAAAGGTCAGGCTCTCCCCCATAGGGTTCATGTGGGAAATCTACAATTTCCTTAAATAAATGTGGCATTCCATAAGAAAAATAAATACATTATCTACTATTGATAACCATTTAGATAATGGAGGGAGAGAATAAGGGGGTTTTAGGGTGGTTTTGATTTGCATTTCTCTGACAGCTAGAGATGGTGACCATTTTTTCATGTACTTGTTGATTGATTGTATGTCCTCCTCTGTGAAGTGTCTGTTCAGGTCCTTGGCCCTAAGATACCATCTCACTCCAGTAAGATTGGCAGCCATTATGAAGTCAAACAACAATAAGTGTTGGCGAGGATGTGGGGGAAAGGGTACACTTGTACACTGCTGGTGGGACTGCAGATTGGTGTGGCCAATTTGGAAAGCAGTATGGAGATTCCTGGGAAAGCTGGGAATGGATCCACCATTTGACCCAGCTATCGCCCTTCTCGGGACTATTCCCTGAGGATCTTAAAAGAGCGTACTATAGGGATACTGCCACATCAATGATCATAGCGGCACAATTCACAATAGCTAGACTGTGGAACCAACCTAGATGCCCTTCAATACATGAATGGATAAAAAAAATGTGGCATCTATACACAATGGAGTATTACGCAGCACTAAAATTACATATAAGAGGTTGTGAGGGGAAGGGGGGGAACAAGGGAGAGAATTGAACAACAGCAGATGAGGTAGAGAGGGAAGATGGGAGGGGAGGGGAGGGGGGATAGTATGGGATAGGAAAGGTAGCAGAATACAACAGTCACTAATATACCATTATGTAAAAATGTGAGTGTGTAACCGATGTGATTCTGCAATTTGTATTTGGGGTAAAAATGGGAGTTCATAACCCAATTGAGTCAAATGTATGAAAGATGATATATCATGAGCTTTGTAATGTTTTGAACAACCAATAAAAAAATTAAAAAAATAAAAGGGGGTTTTAGAGTCAGAATTTGCTAAGTCGTGAAACTTTAAAAGCCATGCTAATCCTAACACAAATGCCACAACATACCAGGCACTGTGGCACACTCCTATAATCCCAGTGATTCTGGGGAATGAAGCAGGAGGATCTCAAGTTCAGTGCCAGCCTCAGCAACTTAGCAAGACCTTGTCTCATTTAAAAAAAAAAAAAAAGAAGAAGAAGAAAGAGAGAGAGGGAGGGAGGGAGGGAGAGGGAGGGAGGGAGGGAGGGAGGGAGGGAGAGGGAGGGAGGGAGGAAGGAAGGAAGGAAGGAATTAAAGGGCTGGAGGATGTAGCTCAGGGGTAAGGCACCCCTGGATTTAAACCCCAGTACCACATTTAAGGAAATAAAAAAATCACATTTCAGAAGCCGAAGACATCTCCAAGTTAGCTAGATGACACAGCTCTACTTCAGGTACCCAGGACACTTCTGGCAGAGTGCCTAGGCCTGGACTTGGGGCTGATTCAAACCCCACCCAGCTCCTTGCCCTGGAAGTGTGTGTGTGTGTGTGTGTTGGTGGGGTGGGGGGTAGGGGAGATGCATGGCAAGCCCAGCCCATACCCAGCCCCAGACTCTCCCTAAAGGCTGGGTGAACTGGTCTCTTCCAGGTCTGAAGATCTGCAACTAAGACAAAATTGTGTGGAAAAGGCCAAGACTGACATCAGAAGACCGTAACAGTTATATGAACCTGTCCATTTGGTTGAATTAGGCATTAATAGGCACATCAGTTTGTATCCATTCCTAGGACTTAACATCTGAAATTTGTATTAAAAAAAATTTATCTGCAAAGAACCAATAACTAGAAAGAAAATGTTTGAATTTTGATAGTAAGTCCCTATTGTCAAATTTAAGAAAATTGACTTTAAAAATTAAAACCAGAAATCGTGTTTCATATTGCAATCTTAAGCTTTCAACTTATATGACTGCCGGACAGGCCTTATTTGTATAATTTTTTCCAATGAGGCAGGTAATAATTTTCAAAGCCAAGTGCTTAGATCATACTACACTTGTTGCAGAGATTAAACTTATTTTCTTGAAAAGAATGCAGTTTTAAGTTAACGAGACTTCTAATTATAAAACGAATGCCTGCTATTTTAAAAGTCTCAAGCGACTTTCAACACATTCACCTACAGGCATCCCCAAACCAACTGCTGAGCTTCAGGAAGTCTGGGTCAGAAAGACTGAGGCCTGGAAAGACAAGAGCAAGAACTCTGCCTGGCACTCGCCCAAGCTCCTTACCACAGGTACAGAGGCACTTAACCCAGGCCGTCTGCTGAGTGAGGGCCTCCTGGGAAAGGTGGATTTCAGGTTTGGGTACCACATTTGCTTGTACAAGTGGGCCCCTGAGCAAGTTATTTATCTTCCCCAGGCTCAACTATAATCTCACTCACTCCCTCTTGTTAGAAAATTTGGCAGAGGAAGTTCAACCCAAGATACTTACTTTGTAAAATCTACTTAATAAAACCAGGCTAGGAATGGCTTTCAAAACAGCTTGCACGAACAAGATCTCCTGACCAACGCAATTGTGGTCAAACATGGGTAAATATAAATATTCCTGTGTCCAGCTCCTCATCCCCCCATACCCTGCAAGGCCCCTGGAGTCAACAAGACCAACAAAGAAAGAATAAACCATGAAGGACACAAAGGCAACCACCCACAAAGTCCCCTGACGGAACCCAGGAGGCCAAGCAGAGAATGATGTCTCTGACACCGGGTTTCACCCAACCATCATCCCAGAGGTGGGAGTTTTCCTGAAGTGCGCTAACCCTGTGACACCAGAGCTACAGCCTCTGGCCACATGTGTTCCCAAGCTGGATGGAGGTAGGTGCTCATGTTAAATGGCATTTCATTTTTTGAGTGTATATGGGGTGAGGGGTGCCTATCAAATTTGTGGTAGCAGAGATTTTTGCTTAGCAAGGTGAGGGTAAAAGTTGACATAGTAGAAAATAGAACAGGAGGCCCTTGTATACAGAAATATCATAAAAGCCACATGCAAATGATTCCAGTTTGACAGAAGCATATAAAAAAATTATAGACCCTTCTTCCATGACTCTCACAGCCCTGAAGCTAATGGCTTAATAGAATCTGTTTGATTTCTACTTCCACCTGTATTTTTTGCTTACACAGTGATTTTCATTTTAACAGAAAAAAGTCATTCTCAAAAGAACCTTCTCTATACATAGTGGCAAGAAAAACTTCAATCCCGGGGCATCCCAGGTCCTAGCAGGAAACAAAGCCACATCTACTTTCCAACTGGTGCAGAACAGACCAACCTCTACAACGCACAAAGGCCATCAATCAGCTCTCTGGTCCTTACACCATCAAAACAGGAGAGAGACACAGCCCAAGTGCAGAGGCAGCAGCAGAACTCCGGTGATGGGCTGTGTGTGCGACCCCTCCACCCCTCTCACCTCAGTTACTACCCTTCCTACCTTAAGAGTGTTATGCAACTCCAGCTGCCTGGATCAGCAGGCTAGGAGAATTTAATGAAAACAGTATGTGTCTGAGGTATCACAACCCTACAACTCACAGAGATGAGTTCAAAATCCTGATAAAGGTCTCCACCAGTGGGGCAGCTTTTATCCCAAATGATTCAGGATCAAAACACTGTTGGAATTTTCATGGCCCTGAGAAAAGCTCTCAACCTATCTGAAAGGCTAAACCAGTATTCATTATAATGGTTAAAACAAGCCATGAGGCTGCAAACGGACTGACACTTTCCTGCTTTGTCACGACCACTCACTCTTCTACATACTGACAAAAGCACCTGCTGTGACACGCTCCATGAGGAATCCCATGCCTCCTGAATGTGCCTGGTGTGCACCCTCGAACTGAGCAGGGGGTCTGAAAGCAGACCTCCTGTACTGCCTCCACGCTGTCACAGTGCGGGGCTCAGATGCCAGCAAAAGGATTTCATCTCAATTTCCCAAAGCTGCAGAGAGAACGCTCGCCAGTGAGGGGAGCTGCTGGGCTGGTATGTGAGCTGCTCAAAGGCTGATGGGGAGGGAGCACAGCACAGCTCTCAAATTCTCAATACTGATATTCCTCCAGCTACAAAAGCCCACATGTTAAGAAAGAGAGATTTAAAAGGGACTCATTACAGTAACTACATGGTTAACATCCCTACAAAAATACACCTTTTTACACACTTATTTTAATTGAAGATGTTTATTGCATTCTATTTTTGGTGGAAAAAATGTAACATATATTTATTTAGTACAACCTTGTGAGATGCACAAAGCATAACTGAGTAAGAAGCATTTTTTATTCCTAGTCCATTTCTGAGGACTAAATCATGAACTGCTCCACTGTAATTAAATATTTCTTATAATACTTGGGCACCACACTTGTTAATTTTCTCCTCTCAGTATAGGTAGCAATTCACCATTTTCTTTCAGTTCCTAAAAATAAAAAAAAAGTAACAATAATGTAAATGCACATATAAAAAATGAAAACATCTTTGCAAGTCACAGCTTTCATCAACACCTGAGAACAAAAAGGAACTCCTATTGCATTTACACCCCCAAGTCTTTCAACATTCTCAAACTAAACATTATGTCACAAAAACCGAATATAGCCGTTCCTTGGTATGCACAGGGGAGCAGTTCCAGGACTCCCAGGACGCCAGAAAGCATGGATGCTCAAGTCCCTTGCACAGAACTGCACAGTATTCACATACAGCCACCCACACCTTCCCATGCGACCTGTGTCATCTCCAGATGACCTATAATACCTAATGCCAAAGAAGTGTTACATAAGCAGCTGCTGTGCTGAATGGTCTAGAGAATGACAACAGGGGCTAAGTCTAGACGTGATCAATATGATGCTTTTTTTCCCCAGATACTTTTCAATACTCCATTGGTTGAATCTGTATATGGAAAACCGCAGGTGCAGATGGCCCTGTGTGTGTGTTTACGCATGCAAGCATGTAAAATGAAAAATGTAGGTCTATTTTTGTTGCTTTACGGTTATCCAAAAGCTAGTGTTAAACATTTTTTTCCTCCAGGAACGAGATCAGCAAAACTACCTCACTAATGTGTTTCAGAGCCATCATGGCTGCAGCACTCAGCAAGAAAAGAAGCCGGAACAGATGCAACCTCCATATGAAGGCCCCACAGACAAGGTGCTCAAAAGCCCTGGCTTTGTAAACGTGCACTAGTGCCATTTCAGCTGGGATGGGGTTCCTCCACGTCATGAAAGTGCATGCTAAAAACCTTCCCTTCACAATATGACCAGAAGTAGCACTTCTTATTAGTTGTCTTCCACTTCAAAAATCAGAGATCTGACAGAGAAGACTTGCTAACAAAGCAAGCAGGAGGAAGGCCTGAGGGTAGTCTGGGCCTTGGAGGAAGCTCAGCAGCCCGCCTTCTGTGACAGTCCCAGCTTCTCAGGAACCAGCATTCCAGCTGGCCCTCCACTTGACCTACCACAGCCACCTCCCAGAGTGGCAGCAGCAGGGTAGAAGGTTTCAGGGTGTCAAAGCTGCAGCTTCCCTTTATTGTTGTGGGCTAATCAACAGAGCTGTGCAGCACACAGGTGCTAGATGTGGGGCTGCCCTAAGTTCTAGACATTGAATGTAAGAAAAGTTATATCCAACAAGCCAAAAATTAGTGTACCCATCAATCACTTGCTGAGCTCCTAAAGTACACAGAGCATCAGAAGGGATTCAGAGAGTACAAGAGGAACCTCTCAACATGCTTATTACCATCCAACAGTTACAGAGTAATAACATCTGACTGAGGCCAGTGATCTGCAGCCACTGTGGTGCGCAGGGCAGGGCCAGTTCTGGGCCTCCAGGCTCCTGCCTCATCTTCACGCACCATGAACAAATGAGGGAGGATAAAGAAAATGCAGGAAGAAAATCATGACAACATAAAAAGAGGCACAAAAATTTCAGGAATAGGAGCAAATGTCTCTAGCTGGAGGGAGCCAGACATTTACAGACCAGTGAGTTTTACAGGATAAAGAAAACAAGTTTAATTACAGACTATGAAAGAAAATCCAAAACCAAGGGGACAAAGGTGAAGAAATGCTGAAAAGCAGGAAAATATGGAAGAAAGCTCTATGGACTTAGTGCACTATGGTTTTTTTAAGCCTGGCCACAGTCTAGGGCTCGCTGAATGCCAAGTGAGAGTTTGGATACTGGCTGGCAGCTGGATGGGAGCTGACGAGGTTCTATAGAAGGCCCAGAGCAACAGGGAAGGAAATCGCTGGCTAATCCAGGAAGAAGAGGATGAGAACAGTCTGAAGCAGCAGAGACTATGAAAAGGATGAGACATTATACACTCCAAAACAGAAGTACTAGTCCAGAACAGGCAGACTATGAGGCTGGAGAAAAGAGGAGTCCGACAACCCCAAAGTTTCCATTCAATGTGAAATGATGGTTTTCAAACGTGTCCCACTTATCAGTGCTGGAGGGTAGTGGATAGAGTCTCCTTACCTTAACAATATCCAATCCTCCAACAAGCTCCCCTTTCACATACAGCTGTGGGTATGTCGGCCAATTGGAGTATGCTTTTAATCCTTGCCGAACCTAAAGAAAAAACATAATCCTGAAACCTTCCTACAACATCTACAATGAAAGCTAAACAAAAAACAAAACAGAAACCCCAGAACTTACTTCTTCATCTTCCAATATATCAAACGTTTCATATTCAACACTACAAAAAGGAGAGAACATTTTAACAGGAAATACAGTTGTAAAAGAAAAAAATTATAAGACCTATTTGGTGTTTTAAAAATAGTCAAGAAAAGTAGATATTGCTAACAAAATGCCCTAAGTTCTAGGCCAATGGAAACTGTTTCACTTCTTAGATCTGCCAGGGATGACAAAGAACAAATCACCACAGGACACAGATCTACCTGGATCTCTCTCTAGACAAAAAAGGGTCAGACCCAGGGTTAGAAAAATGTTCGTAAATAACAAAGAAAGGGGTCATTAAAAAAACGACCTAAAACCAGCCAGCCTCCCCTCCAGGCCCAGGAAAAGGGGGAAGACAGAGTGGGCCTGAGGTAATAATTACGCTAACTTGACCATATTTTCCTTTATAAAATGCCAAGATAATTTGAAGAAATTAACCATTTTTCTTTTTGCCTCTAACATTACATTCAGTCTAAGCTTTTAATCCTGCTAAAGAATGCTGAAGTATTTAAGATTACCTTCCCTATAACTTCATAGGGTAGGCTAATATAATCTATTTAAAGCTATGATTTAAATACAAATTATAATTTTTTAAAAAAGCAATTGTGAAACAAGGAAGAGAAGTAAAAGTAAGCAAAGCATCTGACAAGCCCAACAGAATATTTGCTACGTATCTCCAGGTAAGTGGTTTTGTTCTGAACCACAGAAGTCACCGGCAGTGTTCTCACCTGGCAGCTTCACCACGGAGCACATCAGAAGAAGAGGTGCTGCAATGTAAGTTCAACTGGACCCCTCTCAGATCCTGGTGATGGACCTTATGTGTGCCCATCAGTTTCATGTGTTGCTTAGAAAGTACAACTTTTTTAAAAGAAAATTTTAAAACAACCTATAATATTCTCCCTGTCCTATCTTTACGCATGGTGAGAACACTGGCCCAAAAAGTTCTACTTTGGTCTTAAGTTAAAGCATTCATAAAACATTATAGCAAAAATAAATAGATTTTAAAAGTATGAACAAATCCAGACATTAAAACTGAAAAGCATTAGTGGCAGAACTAAAGTTAGAATTTTTTAAATACACCATTTGAAAACAAGATTTACATACCCAGTACTATTCAGTATTTCCAGAATTTGTTTGCTGAATCCACATTTTGCTTCCTAAATTTAAAAAATTACATTTTTTTATATGTCCCAATTGTCATGATCGAAGCTAATGCTTTGTCAATCAATGCAGCGCTTGTCCAATGTCATGGCCACTACATTTGCTCGGCTCCTGTGACTCTGCATAGCCCTCTCCTTCAAGCACTGACCCTCTAGACATCTTCCCAGACACAGCCCATAGACCTACTCAGGCATGCAGCCTCATAAGGTGACATGTGCTTTAGTGGCTCATGGTCTGTGTGGTTAGAAGGTGCCTGAATCAAGTCTAGACCTTCTAGAGAATTTCTTCCTTACTTGATTTACCTGAACACACTTAACCTTTCTGCAATAACTAAAATAATCATTGTCATGTTCCCAACTTTGACCCCATTTTAAAAATTTATCTTTACATTATATGGCATCAAATTTTGGGGGTGGTTATGGAAATCTTATGCTTTTTTTTCATGCCACAGGACCCCAAATCCTAACAATCTTGTGGAAAAAAATTGATACACATAAAACATTTTAAAAGTTCCAACAATAGTGTTTCTGAAATGTATGAATTCTTTCTGGGCTTTCAGAAAAAAAAGGACTGTTGAGAATAAAAATCTACTTTAAATAATCTCAAAAGGGGCGGGGGGGGGATGCCGCTTTATCATTACTAGGAGTTATTCATTTCCTCCATTTATTTTTAACAAATACACTGAACCAGTGAAAGAATCTAGATCCTAACATAGCATGGATTTCAACATGCTAAAAATTCCTATGATCTTCCTTGCTGTTATTACTTTCGTTATATTAACTAATTAGTTGTGTTAACTAATGAGTTTCATTATATTTGTAATATTAGCTTTCATATTCCTTATGGTGACCTGACTCTCAAAACAGTCCTGTGAAGCCCATTTACAAGGGGCAAAGCAGCTTTCTATGGCTGAGTCACCTGCCCAAGGTGTCCTGTCCTATGTGTTGGGCAGTTTCCTCACTCTGTCAGCCTCAGCTAGCACAGTGGTAATTTCCACACCTCCATGTAAGCCAAACCCTGTTCAGCTTTGCCTATCCTAATGACTGGCTGAGAATTCAGGAAATTTAAGACAGATTCAATTGTTACAAAACCAGTAAAATACAATATAAATGCAATGGCTAGTCTGGGGAAATTACCATCTTAATCCCAATCCAAAAGTTAATTAGTTTTACTCAAGCCATCCGTGGCAGTGATCTATCAAACTTGATATTCAAAATGATGCAAAATTAATATGTATTTTCATCAAAGATACTACAAGAACCATCTCATTATAAATGAGAATTACTCATTCATCAAACATATGAGGAGCACACACACCAAAGCCAGGGTTTGTTTCCCACCATGGACACTTGTACTGTAAGAACCCAAGCACTACCAGCTTCCCCGCACAAAGTACACCAAAGCAGCCCACACACTCAAACAAAGGGTAATGGGACAGCAACTAGCAGACCAGCAAGTGTTAAAATAGTGTTGACCATGTTAGCTGACAAAGTTTGGCAGCAGAAAGAAATGCACCCTGCTGAGATGTTGATGATAAAGTCAAGCAAAATGTAGATTACTTTGCTTGATCTCCATAAGCACCAATTAAGGCCTGGATAACTTCCTGATACTGCTACAGCTTCATTAGCTAAAGCTAGGAGAAGAAGATTTAACTGTCCCCTTGTTGCAGATGTTAACATCAAAAGAAATTACAAATAAAACCATTTTTGAGTTCTTTACCTGTTTGTTTCCTTTCATAAAGAGCATCACAGAAGCTTTATTTGTCAGCACTTTAAGCCTGAAGAGAGAAAATTGATATAAAATGGCTCAGCTCAATTATTAAACACCACTTTTGCTCTGCATCATGAGTAACATGCGTATTTGAGGGATAGCAGGATGATAGTTCACAGCTTTGAGTGGTATTAAACAAGCAAATGCACTGACATTTTCCTTTATTTCACGCTCTCCCTGAGCCACTGTAAAACACAATATGGCTTCCTAGGCAACGAATGTTCCTTCAAGTTGCAATTTAAGCCCATCAACTCAGAGTACTAAAAAAAAAATAATAATAATAACCAAGTCAGGAAGGAATTATTCAATAGGGGGCTCATCTATTGGGCAGAATTTCCAGAACTAGATCCACGAGCCCTATGTCTCACAACTCTGCAGAGTTCTGCACTCCTAAGGCTCACAGGGCAGGCTAGAGGATGAAAGCGTTAAATCCTAGAACATCGACTAATGCTAGCTGCTAAAAAACTAATGCAATAATGACTTTATACCACCTTTCAAACCAAATAACCTAACTCCTGTCAGGAACTTTAATCATCTGTAGTTAGCCCCAAAGTTTAGTCACACAAATCTCAGAAAAAGTCAGCGTGGGGACAATGGGTCACACCACCATATTTTCACTCCACTGGTGCCACAGGGTAATTAATCCACAGCTCAAAATCTCTCTACAGAAAAGTCACAAAGAAATGCACAGATCAAGAACACGGCCACATCATCTCACCTCCAATGAAGTCTAGCCCATTCTCAGACACAGCAGCAGATGCAGAAACAGGACGCTGGCCCGCATCACTCACCCAGACCACTCTGCACTGTCAAAACACGTCACAAGCCCACAAACTCTGCTCACGAGGTACTCTTTAAATTACTATTCAAAATACACTAAATTCTGCTGGTCTATATAATCCTGGCCAGTTACTGTCTGTGTCTAAAACACAGGAGATTTAGAAGCAGTACATTCAGAAAACGGAAGGTCCAGTGGACAAAAGAGCATAAACAGCAATGAGCATCTATTTGAGAAGGAAAATGGGCACTGAACAGCAAATCTAGACATAAAAGAACAGCTGTCTTCAGAGGCTACAGCTGCCACAAGCCAAGGGCGTCACCACACTATAGGAAAGAACAAGTGAGGACCGTGTGGTCAACAAAAGGACACCACTTTCTCATTAAGAGGCAAGAAGGGCAATTAAACTTAAAAAATAAATAAATAAAACTTAAAAAAAAAAAAAAGGCAGGAAGGGTGCTGGCTGTGAGGGGTCAAATGGACACCCACGGAGCACTAATACAGTCCTACTACCCACGGAGGACCACTTCACTACTCAAGCACGAATGAACAAGGTATTTATTATTAAACACTAGCAGAAATTTTCAAAATATTAAATGATAAGAAAACTTTAAGAGGGAGGTTTATTTTACAAACTCAAGCCCAACTGCAAATGGCTGACTTGATGTATTTCAAAATCAATTCCTTTTTAAACCTCTACATTAATCCATCTGTATCTGAATAAAAGTCCCTTTAATTCTCCCTACATACCAAAGTCCAAAATTTCTATGAGTTTCTTCTAAAGTTGACTGAGATCCTCCATAAAATAGAGAAAAGTTTTCCAGCTCCAAAATCTGCTGGATTTTAAGGTGTCATAGTTAGAAAGGCAATGAGACGTATCCAGGGTCTGATGGGAAGTCTAACACATATGCAACATCAGCTTCTCACACCGCACACACTCAGGGTTCTAAACAAGAGTGCTGTGTTGACATCCTCAGGCAAGAACCAAATAACAGGATCCTGGCTCCAAATGCAGGGAGGGAAGAAAACTTGGTTAATCCACCTGAAACCATGACTTTCCAGAAGAGCAAAGAATATCTAAACAATCACTAAACTGTTGCTAATGCTTCTCCAGTTCAAATTAGAGTTTCCCAAGTCTGTTTAACTAGTTTGACAGCAAACAATGACCCCTGGCAGGCAAACATCAAATCTTTGATTTTTTTTAAAGAAAAAGCAACGCAAAAACAGGATTTAAAAATATTTTTAAAGTAAGAGTAGACTCTGTGAAACTTCTATAACACTTACCTTTCCTCTAATTTGGGAGCTTTGGGGCAAATTGTATCTAGTTCTTCAGATGCTTCTAGCTCCTGAAATAAACATAACATACACATCAGTTTAAGAAACCTTTACTATGACATAAATCTCCATCACACCATAATACTGATCAATTACCTATTCAGAGATACTTTTATTCCAAATTGATATTAGTAAATGCAGAGATTCATGTGTACTTTAGACTAATTATAAGTATGCTCTAAATGGAATTTCTTTACAAGGTACAGATTTCTCAATCTTCACCTTAATTATATCAAGGCCTCCTATGAGCTCTCCAGAAACATAGAGCTGAGGATAGGTGGGCCAATTGGAGTAAGTTTTGAGCCCCTGCCGAACTTCTTCATCTGAGAAGATATCAAAACTGCTAAACTGAATATTATGTTTGTGAAGAATTTCCACCATCTGCTTGCTGAAACCTGCATACAGAAAAAGAAAACAAAGAATTTAGCATGTCTCTCATATACATAAACACGATTATAAATTAATTGAGAGTACATATCACCCAGTGAACACAGATGCCTGCCTTTATTCTGCCAGTGATTTAGCTGGCACAGCTGAATAATATGTGAAGAGAAGATACATCCCAAGCAACTCTCATATGACCTTGAACCACACATGTTCAGATATGACTTAACTCTTTAACACAACTGGAAGCTTTAAAAAAAAAAATGGATGTGTATTAATCAAAGTTGCTCTTACCATTAGGAACATTTTTTGTGGAAGGAAATTTAGTGGCTAAAGAGCAGAGAGCTCTGAAGCTCTGGCACCATTCATCCACCGGAGGGCAGAAGGCCCTGGACAGCCACCTCCCAGTACTTCTGAACAGCCCCTCCCACTCTCCCATGCTGAGAGTGGAGGAGAGTCAGCTCTAGCTAGAGGAAAAACTCAAGACAGCAGTTATTTTTAACCCAACTGTGTACTTCCACTGCCATTTTCCTGCTTCCTGAGTGCCCACTTGAGCAGTTCTCAGTCCTCAACATCTCTAAGGACAGATGAGAAATCAAGGAGGGACATCTTCTCTCTCAAGCTGAAATGGGCACAGCACATTGAATTTTAAAGCCATCTTCTCTGTCATTATATATGAACTGTCAATAGATTGACAGTGTTCTTTCTCATCTCATGTCATCACTTGACAGTTTCTTTTCTAAAACTATTTACATTCCCTAAAGTGTGTAATGTAATTTCTTTGCTACACTGTAGTGACAATTTTATGTTCCATGATTTTATTATACTTTTGTGACACATTTCTGTTCTGTACTTTCTTGACATCATCATCTTATTATAACATTAGTACTGAAGAATAAGAGTGTGAATCAGTCTTTTATAAACCTGTTAGTCCAGTCTGAAAAAAGGATATTTTTCTTTCCATAAACTAATTCTTACCAATCTTTTTTCCTAGTTTGAGCCACCCTACGCTTTCACATCTCATCATTCTTCTTTCCAAACATAGTCGTAACTCACTAGAAAATAACCTATTCTTCAGATTCAAAATTCCTATAAGACTTAACAGCATTTGCAATTATTTTCAAATCATAATATTCAGCATAAGATTAACTGAAAGATAAGCTTAACCTGATATCACCCAAAAGCATGTTTAGTATTAAAACAGATCTACAACTGAGCTTCATTTTCCAGATCTGCTGTTGAAGATGAAGCACTAGTATTTATTTGTACAGCTATAAGTTCTTTTCCTACAACAGAAGTGTTAAGTTCATGTACAGCCTGCAGTAAAACACTGATTCTGAAATTTTTTCATTCATCTGGGAGTTCATTAGTAAACAGCTAACGGCTGATTGCTGATGGTTATTCTGCTGCCAATATATTAACTCATTTCTACTGTAACTGGCTGAGAAAGAGCTTTATTTTAGCTTTAGGCAATTACATGCAGACTAGAAAGATTGATTGGTAGTATTTCATTTTTAAGGGTTAAAGTGGTAGACTGGAAATGTTTTCCTTATGGATAAAGTAGTAAGAAAGCTTTATTCTAATGACAAAATATTTACACAATTTGAAGAAAAATGCATGCAAGAAATAAAAATACTTAAAAGTAAAAAAAAAAAAAAAAAAAAAAAAGATTAACTGCCACAAAGTCACCATTTCTATCTGCAGTCATGTCTACTCATGACATGAGTAATACACCTAACTGCCACATTTAATAACTATCTAACAATAAACCCCTAAAGAATAGTTCTGCAATATGCTTTTGTGACTGAAACAAGGCAGATGACTCTCACTGCAGGAGAAATTTCTATGGTCAGACACCTGCTTTGCTACAAGTCTAACTTCAACAGCTGTAAGAACTCCCCAATTACTTAATTAACTTGCTCTAAGACTTAACAATTCTGTTTAAGAAGACAGACATCTCAGTGCTTCTAGAAACTCTTCCTTCACACCTAAGTGTCCTCTCTATCTTCCTGAGCTGCACAGAACAGGGACAACCAAGTCTTTAACAACTGAGGCTCTCTCATGATACACCACAGGATTCTACAGGCAGAATCCACAGCAAAGGATGAGAAGGCAGAGCTGTGGCCTGCATGGGAGCCAGGGACAGGCTCCAGAAATGGCTTTTCCAGCTTCCTGGATTCAAATTTAAATGTTATTTATTCATGGTTTTCTGACTTTCAGAAAGGGAGATGGGGGCCATCAATTTAAAAATCAAGTGTAGCCATAGTCTGCAGTGGCCATCAAAACGGTGTTACTAAAGCGTAGTACTTTCAAAGCGAACTCTGCCAAACCAGGAGAGTGGCCACTTGAATTCACAAGGTGAAAAAAACTTGGTTTTTAATTACAGGAGCTCACCTACACTTCTTCTCTGAGGTGCTAACAAAGGAGCAAAAACAATTCTCTTCTAGGCAGGCTCAAAAAGACAGCAGAAGGAAAGGCCTTATGCTCCCAAAAGAAAGCAGCTTCAGGATGAAGTTATGCAGCAAAGCACACAGAAAGGGGAAAAAGAGCCAGGGAAGGAAGCAGCAGGGCTCAGACACAAAGGAAATGCTTTCTAAGTATCCTAAGCAGACACTTTATTAGAACCAACGCCTAAGGCAATCTGCTCATTCTATCTGCTGGGTAGGAAAGACAACACCCAAAATATCAGGAAACAGAAAAGCCCTTTAAAAATGGAGTTACAAAGTCGTAAAGAATAAAACAAGCCTTAGAACAGAAGAAACTGTACTGTTAGACCATCTGCATCTAAAAACCTTCCTTTAAATTCCCTAGTTACTTATTTCATTCCCTAAATATCTATAATGCTGTGTTTTTCAGATTGCTCTAAAACGTGTTAAAACTTTTTGATTTTTATTTGTGTAATCTTTTAAATGTCAGTTTTATCATAAATGAAGTTTAATGAAGTGAAGAAAAATGAGTATTTCTAAGTTTACCTCTAATTTGCTTGAATATAACATCTACATTGAAAAGGCCCTCCAAGACTGACTTTACCCCAACACTCCCAGGAGGAAATGGGGGTAGTTACTTGTGCCCAGTTACTAAGCAGGGCCAAACGAAGCTCACTCACTTGACCATGCCCATCACTCTTCCAGCACACCCTTTCCTCTTCTGGCTGAGCATCCCTTCCCCCAGCTTTGGTTTTGCCATTTGCCAGTTTCACCAAGTCATCATTCAGATCCCAAAGAGGAGAACACAGCATTAGGTTTGCTATGTAAAAACTAGCAGACAGGTTCGCCACATTTTATAGCCAGTTATACTGCCCTTCAGACTGGAATGAAGGTACTGAATAAAATCCATGAGACTGATGTGAGTCCTCATATTAGGTGGGCTCATAAACTGCCAGAAATGGTTTTCATGCAACACGTCTGTTGATGCCTTAGCTAATCCTGCGACAGACCAGGTTAGCCTGTAGTCCCTTCAGAGAAGGTGTCACCTGAAACGGAAGACACTGACCAGGAAATTTTTTAGGTAGAACTAAGAAATAAAAGAATCATTTCTTCAACTTTTAAAACAGAATTTATCTTGAAACTTTACGATTAAAAGTAGACTTTTTCATAACTTAACATATAATTTGATAACCATATAGGGAAGAATTTAAAATTGAAATTTATATTGGAAGCTAGGCTATTTTTATAAAGTCACATTGGACATGTAGAAACCATATCAATTACATCCTCAATTTTATTGCCACCTATCTTAATAAGTTCCCTCCTGTGTAGTTGAAACAAATACTCTTAAGAGTCTCAATAGCATCATCAAAAGTCATTGAATGCTCAATTATGAAGCATAATAATGTTGTACCAGGCACAGTAAAAAGAAAACAACATAAACCCAATACCAGAGGGGTCAAATAACTCTAAAACTTACTTAAGGACACAATTACGAGCATCTATGTGTATAGAAAATAAGGGTACTATAAGCCAAGAATTGGGAGTCTTTAAATTACTAGCCGCTATAAATTGGAAAAGACAGCAATGGGCAAATAATGCAATCATTAGACATCAACAACAGGGAAGGCAAGAGTACACAACAGGCCCACGAACACTATGAAAATATTGCAGATTTTTAAATTACTGAATCTGATGAGTGAAGAAAAGGAGGTGGCCAAGAAAGAAGCTGTTAAGAGCAAAACTACACAGGCCAAAGGCCCATCAACAGAGACAGCAACATGGCAGCAGGAACCTGATCTCAACTCCGCCACTGGTTGGCCTTGGGTGAATCAACTTCCCATCTACATGGATAAGACAAAGGTGCTGAATTAGATAATTTCTAGGACCCCTTCTGGTTCCAACCTTCTCCAAGTTTACAACGCACACTAATTCTTCTCATCTACTTGTCTGATGCCCCTGGGAATCAGAACCTGTCTGGTTTTCTACAAGCATGTGAACAGAAGCAAAAGATGTCCACCCCAACTGCACCCTACACTGGCAAAGCACCTGCATAGCTTACACCATCTCAAGCACAGCTTCTTACCACAGCGAGGTTCTTGAGGGGTTCCTTTCATGAACAACATGCAAGGAGCAGCGTGCGTTAATTTCTTCAGGCGAAGGTTAAGATCTTCTTTAAGATGCTCATTAGCACTAGGTGGAAAGGAGCCACTAGATGCGTGTCGCTGCACTTTTTTGGTCAACTCTGGAGCATGTGCACCATCTAATCGGTCAATTTTCTGAGAATTCTAAAGTTTAAAATGTCATTTAGAATACATGTGGCATTCCTTCATCAGAGAGATTTTAGACTCAAATTATAGCGAGTACATACATAGTTCTAGTCAATTTTTAAACAAGTCAACACTGTTACTGGAGAAATAAAAACCTGATTATCAACTGCCTGAAAGGCACTCAATTTAGAAATACATGAGCCCTTTTATTGAGAATGTGTGATGAAAATACTGCACCACCACAGTCAAACCATCCAAAAAGATCTTCTCCCACACTCGCTGGGATGCATCTATTACTAAGTATGAAGTATCTGAAGAACTATGGTAATACCGTGGGTACCCTGAAGCAAAGATTTGCCTCTGCTTCCTAAAAATCATCAATCAAGCCAGAACCAGCTACATGCTTCATAATGCTTAGGCACATGCCCTAAACAAGCAACTTCTGATTCAACACAAGGGAACATTACAATTTGCAGCCAAGGGTCTGTACTTTGGTTAAGAAGTAACCACCTGGCTTTTCTCTCTGGCCCTTCTCATCAGCATCAGGGCAAACAATGAGACCACTGGGGAAAGTGCAAGGCCAGGAAAAACCAAATGCCTCATGTTAAGGGGTCCAGAAAGAGTAAAAAGGAACCAACATGGACAGTCCAATGGACCACTAGAGATGGATGTTCTTGTACCACCCTTTATCCTTACCTTGAAAAACAGAAAGGTGGGAACAGAAATAATTTCATATTTTTCAGATACTTCAGGAACAGCTTCAGCTTCCAACTTTAAAATAAAAAAAGAATTTAAGCTTGATTATTACAAGGTCCTTTTTTACTGCTTCAACATGTAAATCAGTTTCACTTGTATTACCCCTCCAAGTAGCTGGCGTTTTTAAGAGTATGGCAGAAAAGTCTACGACACATTTACATTGAAATGAGACTCACTGGGCTGGCATGCCATCCACGGAGTCTGCAGTGTCAAAACAGGTTCAGAGGTTTTTATTTTGTTGCACATTTCAAAAGATGCCTGGAGGCTGTGAATAAAATTTTTGGTGCACTAGTGACCTAGTAAATTTTCAATCATATGCAGCTACTACTATATTGAAATCCATAAATCACTGACCCCAGTTATGTCATGATTACAGTGCTTATTTTCTGCCCACAGCAATTCTTGCTGTTTGCTCTATTGACTAATTTCAAGAGGCAGTACATCATGACTGACAGTTGCAGCCTTCTGCAAATTATGAAGCAAAAGGAGTATTTCTTCAATAAACTATTGATGTCTGATAAATTTTACTTTTAACTCCTACAAGGCTGCTGGACACTAGGCAGATATCTTGCCAAGTTACTTGCTTCAGGTCTATTCATACATGGAAATTCACTGTAAGATGATTATACTCTGTCTGATGATTTCCTTGAGGCTCCTCAACAAGATATAATGTGATATCTGACGACGTGGATATGAAGGACATTTAGAAACACAATTTTGTAAATAATTAGAACACAATTACTATAAGCTATTTATGTAGGTCTTTATAAACTATACTTTGAGAAAAACCAAGATATATTTTTATCTCACAGGACTGTCAATTTAATATAAACTTTTTGAAACCAATAAAAACCTACATTCACATTATACCTATAGGAAATAAAATTTATTGATAAATTGTTAAAAAGTGCTTAAAATATATACACTGAATTTCTTCAAGAGTGAGATATCTCCACTGGGCCTGGAATACTATTTTTATCTACAGCTTTACCAGTCAGGTGATTTCCATTAGATTGAAACTCAATGCAGAGGGAGGAGGCCATCTGTCTGTGATCTATGCCTTCCACCTTACACATTTTTAGATGCTGCTCCACTATCTTGTTTTATCTCTTTAGAGCACCCTTTTGCAACAATATTTTTAATTAATTTCCATTTTTAAAAATGCATTCTGTATCTTAAATTAACATCAACCATTCAATAATCTGAAAAAGGTGCAAAAAAAGATGTTTTTCTCAGACAGCTGTTCAGAACACACTTTTTCTTTAATTTTAGAAATGTATGCACCATTCTCTTTAAGACATGCAATTCTGCACTCTGAACAAGAATGCCAGAGAGGCTGAAAACAAGGGCATGTCCACAGTGTCACTTCGGCTCATTAGCCCTTCCTTTCGGCTACCATCTGTGGAGCACCCACCACATGCTGGGTATTGTGCCGAGTGCCATAAAGGTTCCTACCCTTGTACTACTGGAGTCTAACAGAAGAGACAGACATCCCATCACCAAGCAATGCCATGCAGGAAAGAGGCAGGGTGGTCTTAAATCAGAAAAATATAGACAGCATCCAACTCGTACAAACTCCTACATGCTTTCAAAATCTGATCTCTTCTGATTTTCCTACTGGTTTCCCACAAGGTCTTAAGACAGCTCTTCCTGAAGCAAATCACTTGCTGTTCCTACTGAAGTCGAAGGATCACCACAAGTGCCTCCCTTCAAATCAGCTCCCAGAAAACAAATCTAAGGTAACGGTAACAAACAATTCCTACAGAACAAGGAATAGGAATACAGAAAAAGGCACAACATCCTCCAGAATGTCAAAGGCACCTAAAGTCCTAGACCTCTGCAGGGCTGGGGATGGAGGTCAGCAGTAGAGTGCTTGGCAAGCAAGCACAAGGTCCTGGGTTCAATCCCCAGCACTGTTTCTCTTTTTGCTTTTTTAAACCCTTTTCAACATGAAAATTCTTTGAAAATATTGGATCTAATACAACATAACAATTTTAATCACAAATAAATATTTTTAAATGATCTGCAGTCAAAAGAACTCAAAAGATAACTAACAATAGCTACCTTTCATAGACAGCCTACTGTAAAATATGACCCTTTTGTATCCTCCTACTTTGAAAGGTATACAGCACATTATCACCCTAGCTTTAAAGCTGGCAAGGTAAAGAGGAGGTGTGATTAATTTTAGACGTCAATTTGACTGGGTTCACATTATACCTATAGGAAATAAAATTTAACTAATAAAGCATTATCCTGGGTGTGTCTGCAAGGGTATTTTCTGAAGAGACTGGCATTTAAAATCAGTGGACTGAGGAAGGGGTATCTACCCTCACAATGTGTGAGGGCCACATAATAGGCTAAAGCCCCAAATAAAACAAAAATGCAAAGAAAAGGCAAAGTCATGGGACACCCATCTCCAACACTTGGCCATCAGAATCCCAGGTTCTCTGGCCTCTGGCACTTGTCCCAGTGACCCCCACGTTCTTAGGCTTTGGGCCCCAAACTATAGAGTCACACCATCAGCTCCTCAGTTCTTGGGCCTTCAGACCAGAGCAGCTTCTCGGCTTCTTCAATTTGCAGAGGGCAGGTGGTGTAGCTTCTTGGCTTCCATGACTAGGTGAGCAGATTTCCACAGTAAATCCCCTCTCATACAGCTCTCTCTGTATACATAGATCCTACAGGCTGTTTCTCTGGAGAACCCTGACTAATATAGAAGATCACGGAGTAACCTGTGTCCACGGACACACAGTTAATAAGTGGTAGAACTAAGCACAGTGTGCATGCCTGTCATCCCAGCTACTAGGTAGGCTGCAGCAGGAGGATCACAAGTTCCAGGCCAGCCTTGGAAACTTAGCAAGACCCTGTCTAAAATACAAATAAAAAAGAGCTGGGGGTGTAGCTCAGTGGTAGAGCATCCCTGAGATCTCTACCCACTAGTACAAGCAAACAAACAAAATAAGTGGCAGAGCTGAGAAACCATAAAATCTATGCTTCTTTCCACTATATCACAGTTAACTTTTCTTCTACTACAATCAAAAAGATAACACTTTAAGAACTGGATTTATATGTGCCTTTGAGACCAAACAAACATGAACACTTTCAGAATGAAATCTGAATCTCCCTGGTGGAAACCACTTGCTTCTACTCCAAGAATCTCAAGCCCTGGATTCTTCTCACCAACCATTCTGTGTATGCATGAGAAGGAATGAAGTCAGGGAAGCATGAGGTTAATCCAGAGGTGGGGAATTCTCTCTATTTCACTTCAATTTAGCAGGGTCACCAAAGACTGGCATAACAGTTACAGTTCACAGCCACAATTTACTCTAGGCCAGACACAGTTCCAAATGTTTCATGTACTGACTCAATAGCCTCTCAATAACAGGTACTATCATTAGAACCATTTCACATCGTGATTGTACAGACATTTAGAAACTAGACATTGTGAACTGTATCTTTAAGTTAGTTGCCTATTTTCAAAATATTTTAAAATAAAACTATAAAGATTCCCCTTTTTTAAGGAGAAAAAAATACATATTTCAGTATGTTAACTCCTCAATGCCCTTAACTTTTTACCTTAAATTATAATGTACATCAGACATAAGTACAGCAGTTATTATACAAACAAACTTAATATTAAATGAAACACAACAGCATAAAAAACTAACCAATCAGCCAGCTGCTAAGTCTGATCTGGGGAAATTTTGTAGTACAGTGCATTACATGATAAAAGAGAACCACAGGGGAAAAATCCATTTTCAGATCCATTTGATTTGTTTCTCAGATATACCCAGCAGCACTCAACTTGTTCATCACCATGTACTACTTCCTCCTTCTCACCTCCTCTGCCAGATACCATATTCTGAAAGATTCTATTGATAAATGTATATGCACATTATAGGTAAAGTACTAACAAAATCTTTTATTGGAAAAGAAAAGACATCTGACATGTTTTCAATTCTATTCTGAATAAACATAAGGTTTCTATACAACAGAAACAACTCATCTCTGTCCTCTAAGACCTTGGAGGTCTGAGAGCCTGGGTAGGGCCCACACCTTAGGATTCCAACCAGATAACAGTAGCCATTCAGGCAGCTGGAGGACCACCCATCCTAGACAGCTGTGGCACCCAGGGGGCATTAGTGCACTTCCTAGTCTTCATCAGGACAATAAGAGGCTCAGAGACAGTGAGTGTGAAAGCCTTGCCTTTCAACATTCACACCAAAACTGCACAACTAACTTTTCTAAGGTGATATTTTTATTCTCTCCTACAAAATAAGAAATTGTTGGCAGTCAGAGGACCTTACAATCTGCCATCTGAATGATTTATTTAAAGTGACTATAGAATTACTGCTCACAGTGGTATCAGACTTGGTAGTGAGGTTTTAAGTTGTTCCAAGTGCTTAAGTGTCTCAGTGAGCCAAGGACTGGAAGCCCTTGGAGCTACTTGGGTTGTCAGGGCACCTAAGTCTGACAGCACCTTATTTAAATGACTCTGTAAAAAGATCACTTATTTAAGTGACTGTAAATCTCACTGACAAAAATGAACTAATCCCTACATTTTACAAGTCAAGTCAAAAATGCCAAACTACTGTATTATCTTAAAAAAAAAAAAAAAAAAATGAACAAATCACATTAGAAGACACAGACAGGGAAGCTGGGCAGCATGCCCTGGAGTCCCACCTACCTAGGAGGCTTTGGCAGGAGGATCACATGAGCCTAGGAATTAGAGACCAGCTTGGACAACATGCTGAGACTCTGTCTCAAAAGAGACACAGATAAAGGCAGCAGAACATTAGTCCTATAATCTAGAAATATTTAGAAGCCCCTATTAACAAAAGAAAGCTGTTTCAAAATGAACTGCATGACTCTTACTGGAAAAGGCCAATGATTTCTCAAATATTTCACTTCTTATTTGTTCACTGTAGTTCAGCAACTGCCTTTTAACTACCTACTTTACAAACTCCATGCAAGTTACATTTGCCCTCGATGTCTAGTGAAATACCACAGAATGAGTTTCTGCAAAGTGGTGGCTCTTAAAAGAATGAGCAACCTGGCACTGCTGTCACCCCACAGGGGCAGTCACGCTCAGGTGCCCCAATAACCCAGCAACACCCAGGGCTTCCAATCTTGGCTCATTGAGACACTTAAGCACTTGAACAACTTAAAATCTCACTACCAACTCTGATACCAATGTGAGCAGTAATTCTATAGTCATTTTAAATAAATCATTCAGATGGCAGCTGAGAACAATGTGTTACCTAAACCAGTAACACTATACACATAAAGCAGACTTCAAACAATTACCATCATCTTGATTAATCTTACGATTGGATGTTTAATCATTCATTTCACTGGTAATCATTATCTTTTATCACTGACCAAACATGCAGCTTTAATGTCCCCTTCTATTATTTATATTGGACATTTTAGTGTTACATCCTAAGGTTACATTACACATTTCGTTGGAATTTTAAATAAGTCCTTAAATTTTAAAAAGTTGACTATTATATTCATATTTGTTCCATATGCATAAAGAAACACTGGAAGGGTTCATGCAAAATTAATGTAAGCAGTTACATATGGGAAGGGACAACAGAGCTGATAGGCAAGACACGAGTGAGAAGCATACACTGTTTGGATTTTTGAGCCATCAGAGTACAATACCTATTTAAAGCCAACATCTTACAGAAACTGTCTGAAAATATTATCACCAACTATATAGAATTCTGTGTTTTCCATTCACATAAAAAGAGGCATTCAAACCAACAATAAAAAATTAAAAAAAAAAAAAAGAGGCATTCAAATAGTTCATTTCATTTTTAAGCTTACATGTGGGTATACTTGTTTATGTGAAGTCTGAACTCAGAAATTCTGGTTTTAAAAAACAAGGCTTTGGTTTTTCTGCTTGCTTTGAATCTTAAGGATTCAGACTTCTGAACACATATGCCTGCCTTCCCAATAATTCATTATTCTCAACTCATATTTTAGCCTTGATGCCTAAATCAGTACCAACTCCTCAATGACAACATTAAATGTGTTAAATCAAGTGAGCTAACCCACAGTCAAAACTATCATTTTCCTAGTACTTGTCTGCTCAAAAGCAAAACCACACAAAACCAGAATAAAAACCAAAGGAGGGACTGAGAGCAGAGCTCAGAGGCACAGTATGTGGTAGCCCAGGTTCAACGCCCAGCATCAAAAGGTGAGGAAAGGGAGGTAAGGAAGAGACTGCCTGGCTTCCCTTTCCTCTGCGTCCTGGACAGGTTAGATTTTCAGCTTCCACAAGTCTGCGTTTACCCAGTCCAGGACAGCAATTTCATCCTTTCCCCAGGCTACAGCAACCTGTACAGACCCTTCAGGAAGCCTTTTCCACATCCCACCCAGCCTTTCCATGAATTAAGTCTGGTTAATACCTTAACTATCCTAAAGCCACAATTATCCAGAGAATTATCTCACCTGCCCTTTCTCTCAAATAACTCTGCCTTTGCCCAACCTGATACTTCCCATCCAGGTATACCAGGGAAAGTGTGGTGATTTCTATACTAACTTGAGAAATGCAAAATGACTTTAAGAGTTTTAATTATAATCTACTGCAAATATCCCAATGCTACTTATAAATATTTGGAATTCCACAACACTCCTTTGTATTAGTTAATAAAATCTAGTCAAATCCACAACATAAAACACATAACACTGAAAATACAATACCTTCACAAATGAAACTTCACGGTGTTCTTTAGCTAACTCTGCCATTACATCGTTCATCTGTGCACACTGTGGAGCCCATGGCGCCCAGAAATGGATCACAAGGAGGGACCTGTGAGTTAATGAAACAAACTTCTTAAAAATTATATTAACTTTGGAAATAAGTAAATACTGATGTAGAGCAATACTACTACAAAAATAAAACCTTTAAAAGAACTGCCTAAATTGTTTAATATTGTAGGATTTTGGTATATTATAAGCAGACTGAATTCAAGAACATTATGCACAGCCTGAGACCCTTTTGGATGAATTTTCAAGTCAATATTTCTTAAATTAACAATTAGCCCATGTAGCTAGGCATGGGGTACATGCCTGTAATCCCAGCAATTTGGGAGGCTAAGGCATGAGGCAAGAAGATCAAGTTCAAGGCCAGCCTCCATAACTTAGCAAGACTGATCAAAATTTAAAAAATAACTTTTAAATTTTTGTTTAGTTGTTGATGGACCTTTAATTCATTTATTTATTTATATGAGATGCTGAGAATTGAACCCAGTGCCTCACACGTGGTAGGCAAGCGCTCTACCACTGTCACAACCCAGCCCCAAAATAAAAAATTTTTAAAAAAGGGCTGAGGATGTAGCTCAGTGGTTATGCACTCCTGGGTTCAATCCCCAGTCGCCCCCACCCAAAAAAAAAAAAAAAAACCTAGCCTGCATAAAGTGGTTCTGAATGTCCATCCATCTCAATTAATAGGTTTATAAATCAACTCTATTTTCAGACTCCTAAGGAATTTCTGTATTAGGGGCACCATGTTTGTGAATATCATTATTAACATATTTACTTTTTTTATACATAGTATTGTGTGGAAAAGGGGGTATGATTGTGACCATAGGAATAACAATAAAATGTTGAAAGCAAAAAAACAAAAATGTCTCTTACAAAAACAGCCTCTTATAATTTTAATATTATACCACAAATGATTTTCTAAGTAGTTTAGTATGAACAGATAGAATAGCAGATTAATAAATTACTGGCTATGTTCTTAAGAGCCTAAATGCATATCTACCTTAATCATTTTTTTTATTTTTTATTTTTTTTAGGTGTAGATGGACACAAAACAATGCCTTTATTTTTATGTGGTGCTAAGGATCGAACCGAGGTCCCACCCGTGCTAGGCAAGAGCTCTACCGCTGAGCCACAATCCCAGCCCCTTAATCATTTTCATACAAAATAATTGTGGCAAAAATAGCTATCTTTATTTCTATCCTCATATCCAACCTAAATTAATTTAGTTTTATAGGATGCTACATTCAAACACTATCCTCCTCAAAAAAAAAAAAAAATTGAGGGAAAAAAGTTACATAGAGGAAAGAACCAAGGACAACCAATGTTTGAGAGGAAAAAAAAACTTTTAGTTTTTGTTTTTTTTTTAGTTGACGGACCTTTAATTCATTTATTTATTTATGAGGTGCTGAGAATTGAAGCCAGCACTATAAAAGCCAATGAGATAACAGGTGAGAAAAGAGCAGGCCCATGTGAGGAAAGTGGAAGCACAGGGAGGATGAGGAGGCTGTCAGAGGCAGGGTTTAGCGACGGTCCAGGAATAGGCGAAGTCCAAGGCTAACTCCAGCTCTGGCTAGAGACTGAGGGCTGGAAGTGGCAATGGCCTCGAACTCTAGGACAAAGCTGTCAGCCTGGGAGGAGAGAAGTCTAGTGGGCTTTCAGTGAAGATATCTGCATTTGACCTACAGATCTGGGTGGGAAAAAAAAGCCACACCATGTTGCAGAGGAGACAGACTGGACCCACGGTCAGACCTCAGGGCTGACCAACACCAAGTCAGGCCAAGTGGAGGACAAGGAAAGGAGGCCTAGAAGTAGGAGGACGTTAAAGGGTCTCAGAGAGGTGTGAGAAGGAAGAGTGGGTTGAAGTTACAGTTCACCAGTATGGCATCTGCCTAACATACACAAGTCTCTGGAATCAATGCCCAGCACTACAAAACACAAAAAGGAGTAACAACCATTAAATGCATCAAGAAAGGGCAACTAACATTACCAAGAGGAATGTGAATGGGCTAACAGAAGCACATCAGTCAGCAGCAGAGGCAGACTGAAGGTAAGAAAGCAGAAGCTGCTAGAAATCTACTTCAAGAGATTTGTACCATGCACAAGAAAAGGACAGATCTAAGGAATCAGCTTTTAAAAAAAATTCTTGATACAAGGAAATCTTCATATGCGTATTTTGTGCAGGGACAATTCAAATGGAGAGGGAGAGGCTGAGGACCAGAGAGACAGCTGAGAATGCATGGTCTGCAAGGAGGCAGGAAAAGGGCCTCCAGAGTAGAGAGAGGGGCAGTGTCCTCTGTATCAGAGCCAAGGAATAAACAATGAGTAAAGCCATAGCTGGGTGCCTATAATCCCAGCAGCTCGGGAGGCTGAGTCAGGAGGATTGTTGAGTTCAAAGCCAGCCTCAGCAAAAGCAAGAGGTAAAGCAACTCAGTGAGACCCTGTCTCTAAATAAAATACAAAATACAGTTGGGGATGTAACTCAGAGGTAGAGTGCCCCTGAGTTCAATCCCAGGTACACCCCCCCCTCAAAAAAAGGATGGGTAAAGTCATGTATAAGGAGCAGGGGATCAGGCTACTTAAAGTTCTTTTCTCTCAGGTACAAAGCAAGGCCATCTGCTGAAGGGAAGAAACTGAAGGACAGCAATCACAGGTAGGACTGATAAAGAGGGGAGAACTGCTGGCTGCACAACAAAAGTCTAGGAGGGGCTCCAAAGGAAAGCCCGCCTATGGCAGCAAAGGACATATTGTGGGGCCCCCACCCAGCAGATCATGATCTGCATTCAACAGATGGTGGCAGCAGCACGGGAGGGTGAGCAGGTGTTCAGTATGGGCTTTGAAACATTTAAGAAGCAACAGTGATACTTAACAGTTTTAAAATGATGCGAGTATTGACAATCATAAAGGTCAGCTCCAGGACTAAAGAGGTGAAAATTAAAAAGGATAGGAAAGGAGAAAATCTCAGCTATGTTGATTTAGTATTACAATTCTCATGTTGACACAATACATCAAGACAGTCTTTTAAGGCTTTTATCTTGAGAACATGACTGAAGTTGAGGGTACTAAAATATCCCTGATCTGTGTTATTCTTCAGTGTGATAGGCTAGAAACAAATACCATATAACTGATTCTTGTTTAGATGGGGTGTTAGAAATTGAGAATCAGGCAGATTCATCTGCTCTAAAAATGACCCTAACCATGATGACCCTAGCTGGGTGTAATCCCAGCAGCTTGAGAGGCTGAGATAGGAGGATTGCGAGTTCAAAGCCAGCCTCGGCAACGGTGAGACGCTTGTCTCTAAATAAAATACAAAATAGGACTGAGGATATGCCTCAGTGGTTCAGTGCCCATGAGTTCAATCCCTGGTACTCCCCAGCAAAAAATTAAAAAAATAAAAATAAAAATGACCCTAAAGTAAATTGCTTCAAAAAATTATATCCCAAAAAATCCTAGGTGGGGATTTGAAATTGTCATCAGTACTTACATAATTCAAATGGAAATAAAAGAAGCCAAATAAAAGAATTGAAGCAAGGTCATCTTGAGATAAACCCTGACTCAAGCTTTTGCAGAACTAAGGTGTCCTTGCTGGACAGTAGAAGAATCGAAACATGTGAAGTTCCTCAATTAAAAATGTACTGACAAGGGGGCTGGGGATGTGGCTCAAGCGGTAGCGCGCTCGCCTGGCATGCGTGCGGCCCGGGTTCGATCCTCAGCACCACATACAAAGAAAGATGTTGTGTCCGCCGAGAACTAAAAAATAAATATTAAAAAAAATTTCTCTCTCTCTCTCCCTCCGTCTCTCACTCTATCTTTAAAAAAAAAAAAAAAATGTACTGACAAGGAGGGATGGAAGGAAGGAACAGAGGGCAGAAACTGTGACTCTTTTACAGAAAATTCAAGAGCACTAATCTACAGTGACAGAAGAGATCTATTTTTGAAGAAGGGGCTAGAGGAACCCCTGGGGTTCTATTTTCCTATTTTGAACGGTGGTTACTGATATGCATACAACTGTCAAAATTCATCACATCTGACAATGAAGATCTGTGCATTGATATCTCAATTTTTTAAAGCTGGTACATCAATTTTCACCAAATTGACAAAAGGATTTCTAAAATCAAAATATTTAATGATAAAAGATGGTGAGAGAAGCACTTCCATATCTTGCTGGTAAAAACTGAGATCTTCCAGAAATTCCACACATATATGCTGATACCTATTCCAAGGAAACAATTTAAAAGACAAAAATTTATGAATATGAATTTCCCATTACTTTACATAGCTAGTAACTGGAAAAATCTAATGTTCAACAATGTAGTTTTTTAATGGTCATAACAAAATATTATAAAGCCACTAAAAATCAAATTTTCAAGGAATTTTTAATGCCATGGGGAAAAATATCACAATCTGATTACATTTTTTAAAAATTAGAATAGGTAACTAGGCTTTGTAATATTATAAGCCCACACGAGTTTAAAAAAAAAAAAAAAGAAGAGTAGGCAAATAAGCCTGAATTCAAGTTTCAGCTACATCACCACCAACATGGCTTTGAAGAGTAGTTTAACTTCCCTGCACTCCCACATCTGTGAATAGCATTACCTAACACCCTGAGATGTTAAGAACAAAAACATAAAAGTGTCTTAGTTATACTAAAAGCATAATTTTAATGTTAGTAGTTAGCCATGATACTCACATATCATGCTTTACTTTCAGTATCAATTAAGTATATTATATCATATATTATACATCCAATATTATAATGACATATACCTGAAACAAACAAAATAATGTCCTCTTTTGGATTATATATAACAGTATTATCTTCATCTTCATGGATTGATTGTTCAATATGCCTAATGCATTGTTTAAAGAAAACACTTAGAGAAAGATCAGGATGAAATCCTCACTTGCGAGATTTCAGACCACATAATCAATCTTGGTTCTTCATCAATACAACAGTTGTTTTTCTGTTTTTACAGGTTCTGCTACTTCAGTTTTTCATCTGCAGTTAACACTACCATTTACTATCACATGCTAGACTCAAGTATTTTTAAAATGGGTAAAACCTCTTAATTACTCTGCAAATGTGTAAACATCCCCATTGTATAACCAGCTGAGGTTCCAGTAACTTACATACACATCTAGTAAGTGGCTTAAGCCAAGACAAAAATCTCAATTCCTATCAAATTTTAAAACTGAAAAGCAATGACTTGAAAAGTTCATTTAAAGTGTTACACGGAATACTACTTAATGTTCTTAAATGTTTCTATTTTCACAAAGAGCAGCAAAGGTTCCCTCCTTCCCCAGATGTCACACTTCATTTTCCAAGTGCCCATTTAGCCTGGTGACCTTGAAGAATTTAGACTACTGGGTCATCTCCAGGGCAGACCACAAGCAAGAATACATCCAAAAAGTATATGAACTTGAACTTTCCCCATTAAGGATTGTGAAACACACAAAAAATAGTCTTCTCAATGTAACGGTAAATTCAAAACATTTAAGGACAGGTCCACACAAGTCCTTAAATGTTATTTAAGGATTAAATTTCATTAGGCCACCTCTGGTGTCCTTCACTGTTGTGCTGCCTGAACATGTGTTGGTTAGTTGGATGAATCAGAACCCAGCTTCCATCAATGAGTAATGTCATCTATCCCCTTTAAAAAAAAAAATCGCAGGTAAAACTAAAATAAACGCCTAAAGAACTGTTTGTTTCATTCGTTTTTGGTGCTGGGGGTGGAACCCAGAGCCACCACTAAGCCACACCCCCGGCCCCCAAAGACCAGTTTTAACTCACACTTGAACTTCCTCACAGCGGTGCAGCGCAGGGCGCTTCCCGCTGCCAGTCCCACAGCAGTTTACACTCGCCGTCTCCTTGCACCCGAGGCAGGCACTGAGCCCGAGGCTCGGTTACTACACTTGCCGGGGTTACCCGCTGGTGGGCGGCCGAGTTGAGGGTCCCAAGAGAGGGACACCGGAGCGAAGCGCCAGCAGCACAGCATAGCGTGGCCCCCACGACCCGGGTCGGGCAGCACAGCGGTCCAGCCACCCCAGCTGCCCGCCCTCGCGCCCACGCACCCCAGGGTCTCCTTCCGCAGTCCGCTCAAGGGCGAGAAGCACGTGCGCAGCCCGGGCGCCCCCAGCCGGGCCGGAAGCCGAAACGACAACGGGCTGGGCGGAGCGCGACCCGGGCGGCCCGGTGCGCCCTTCTCCGGCGGCGGGGAGGCTCCGCGGGGGTCTCTGCCCGCCCCGCGCTGCCGAGTCACGGTCCAGCCCGGCCGCCCGGGCCAGACGGCGGGGGATCCCGGGTCCGGGCCGCCGTGAGGCCGGGCGGCCGCCTGCTCGCTGTCCCGGGAGGGGCGGGCTTCGGGAGCCGGGCGACGCCGGCGCGGCCCGAGGCCCAGGCCCGCCAGACGCCAAGGGGCCGCCCGCCCCGCGGCCCGACCTCCCTCCCACCACCCGCCATCCGCCACCCACCGCCCAGCTTACTTGGCTTTGAGGCGCAGCAGCTCCTCAAAGTGCCCGGCCGAGCGGACCTCCACCACCGCCGCCGCCGCCGCCTCGGCAGCTCCAGCCGCCCCCGCCGCCATGCTGCAGCCGCCAGTCAGGAGCAGTCGAGCGCTGGCGGCTCGATGGGGTGGGGCGGGGCCAGAGCGCCTGCGCGCGGGGAAGCCCCGCCTCTCCCATCGAGGCCCCGCCCCACCGGAGACCCGGAAACCTGGCGCGGGGCGGGGTTGTGCCGCCAGCTTCTGAACTTTCCTCGCACTTCCTGTAACCTTAGAGACCAAGCCCGGGGCTGTGATAGCGAGAAGTGTCTGAAGTGAGTGCGAGTGAAGGTGGGTTACAGCACTGGCAAGCCGGAATCGATCAGCAAGGGAATTGCATCAAGGTGGGGATGAAACGGGAAGTCTGGGAACAGAGTAGCGGTCTTGGAACCTCAGCACTGACAAGGTGCTTACAGCTGGGTCCTGCAGCACCCGACCCCACGCCCTCTGTGTCGGGCTGGGGGCGACCCCCATCCTCCGCGTGCCATTCCCTCGACGGAGGCCTGCCGGACCCATCCCCATTGCTACCTTGGTGCCTCAAAACCAGGGTGGCGCCGCTTCTTCTGAGCACCAGGATGCACATTTCCATGACCCCTGCCTCCCTGTCACTCAGACCTTCTGGCCTCCCGCATAGGTGGCCCTCCAAGTGCAGTCCTCTGCGCCGGTCTTAGGTGATTCCTACAGATTCTTGGCCTGGATAAATTTCCCCATGCTCCTAGTTTTTTCAGTCTCCAAGGAAACCTCAACAGCTAGCCCAGAGTCCAGTATCCATCTGCTTTGGGAAGTACACTGTCACTTGTAGAATGTCCCCAAACCACATCAGGCCTTCCCTTCAAAGCCCCTCTCCTTTATGGTTCCATTTTCACTCAACACCTAATACCCTGGCGCCTGCCCAAACATTCAGGACTCTTGGCTGGTCCTCTGGCTCTGACTGCGCACTATGTCAAGCACTAACATGGGCATTCATGTCCTAAACTGTGCTTGTCTCCTCCTGAGGCCATGTTCTTAGGTAAGATGGGAGCTGAATCTCCATCCCAAGCGCCTGCATTGGAGCCAGCCAAAGATCCATGCTCCCAACTCACCAGATTTCAAAGACTGCACAAAAAACCGAATGTGATATATCACTAATAATGATTGCATGTATTGTATTGATTGCATGTTTAAATAATGTCACTTTGAATATATATTGGGTTTTGTGAACTATATTAAATTTATCTTTCTTTATCTCTGGTTATTAGGACATTTTAAGTTACAGACGACTCTCACTGTGGCTCACTTTATATTTTCTATTGGCAGCAATGTTCTAGTGATTAAAAGTAGCCTTAGGAGCCCTGTTTACATGTGTGCCTCACCTTGAGAAATAGATGTTACTAAAAACATCAGTTATATTATTCAAAATGCAACAAGAGAGCCAATGAGGATCTGTTTTGTTTCTTGGCAAGAGTGTATAGAAATAAATACACAGGAGTACAAATAAAACTAGGGAAATCTGGAAAAGGCAGATTGTATGCTAATATCAATATCCTGATTGTGATACTGTATTACAATTTTGTAAATGTTAGCATGGGGAAAGTATACACAAAATCTCTTTGTATTATTTTTCAACAACTGCATATGAATCTATAATTATTTTAAAATAAAAACTTTAGTTGATAGAAAACAAAAAAAAAATGTAACTAAAAGCTTAGATACTACCGTGAGGAAAAATGCAATAGGAGGAGGGAAATCACATTGTAAAAACAGGATCCTACTCTGAGGAGCTGGGGTTGTGGCTCAGTGGCACAGCACTTGCCTCACACATGTGAGGCACTGGATTTGATTCTCAGTACCACATAAAAATAAATAAAATAAAGACATGTCCGTATATAACTAAAAACACTTAAAAAAAACAGGATCTTACTCTGGTTACCATTTTTAAGCATTGACTTGTATGTAAATAAAATATAATTATATAACTGAATGTGGCATAGAAAAGGTCTCTAGAAGAATGCCCCCCAAGCATTAGGAGAGATTGCCACAGAAATTGTCCACTTCTTTGTGTCATTTACACGTGTTCAAAGAACATGGATTGCTTTGAAATTTAGTGAAATTTTAATGAAGGAAGGAAGTATGTTATAATGAGTATTTTCTTAAAAAGGAATAATCATCTCTTTGACATGACTATTTTATAAATCCTGATTTTTCCTTTAAATGGAATTTGCTAAAAGTAGCATACACCAGCTGTGAAGAAGGCTCCCTACTTTTTTTTTTTCAATTTGTGTGTAACTTTATTCAAATTTTAAATTGCACTTTAAAAGCACCAGTTTTGTCTAGCTGGGCATGTGCTGCCTTGCTCAGGTCTTGGCCTAGAGGAGGTGAAACGAGACGCTCTCTCCAGAATTATAACCAGGACATCCAGGTAGAGCTCCAAGGAGAAACAGCAGGCTGCTACATGAAGAATGGAGGCTTTCTGTGCAGTCTGAAGGAGTTCACAGTAATGCAAGAAACCATAGACCAATGCCTTTTTCCTCAACGTGTTGGTCAGCTTTGCATCACTGTGACCAAAAGACCTGATGAGGACAATGTAGAGAAGGAAAAGTTTACCTTAGCTCAGTGTTTCAGAGGTTCAGTCCATGTAGACTGTAGGGCTGAGGTGTGGGAAGGGAGTGATAGAGGAAAGCTGCTCAGGACATGGCACCAAGAGGGGGAGAGTGAGGATCCCTACTGGAAGAAAAATGAAGACTCCTGGATGATGCCCCAACCCTGCCCTTCTTGCAGTTACCACTGTTGCTATCAAGTGGCTTGGGGGCTGCAGACTACCTCTTGGCTTTAGAATGCACTGACTCTTTGCTGCTGGACTCCACACAGAGCCAAGCTGCATCGGGGGCGCTGGCACACCCAAGGTGTGGGTGTGTGCAGATAATAGGCAGTGCTTGCTGGCCTTTCAGAGCACTTGCCCAGTGTCCATGTTCTCCACTCAGGGTCCCTCAAGCTGATGTGAAGACCATCACTGCCTAACCCCCAGCTTATACCTAAGGAACTCACCCAGACACCCCACAGGGAGGGCAGGCCCAGGACTCACCCAGGCACTGTCAGAAGCACTTCTTGCCCACCGCCACTCTAGAGAGTCTGGTCATCTCCCTTGGAGTACGCTAGGGCCAGAGGAAATGCTGGCCATTTCCATGCTCAGTGATTTTGAGCTGTTTCAGAACACGGTGGTTTTGGCTTTCCTTTATGCCCTGTTACACCCAAAAGCTCAAAAACAGAGCAAAAGAGTGGGCTAATTTGGGTCCATGTCCCTGTGTGTTCGTCCTGGACAATGACATTCTGCTGACCCCATGTATAAGCATTATTCAGTGGTATCTGTCCACTCCATGGGGGAGGGGGGCCCTCTTGGGACAGCCCTGCCTGGTGAGGAATGGCTCTCCCTGCACAGCACCCTCCTCAGGGCCACATTCAGGAGAAGTAAGCTGCCCACAGGTACCATGTGGCCCTTCAGGAGCTGGAGCATAAGAACCAGAACCTGAGGCTCTGGGCCTAAGGGCTGAAGTCCTGGCCTAGGAGGGCCCAAGCTCCAGTGGGGAAGGCCAGAAAGGGATGTCCTGGACTTTGGGGCAGCAAAGAGGCACCACCTAGTGTCCGTGAATTGTCTGCTTTGAAGGTGTACGTGCAGCGTGATTATTTTGAAGGATAACAACAACTAATATTTACTGCTCCTGAACAGACAAGGTAATATTAAACCATGAATTTCTGATGCGTCATTAGTTCCTGTGGCTGTGTGTTACTCAGTGGGTACAGGGCCTGGTACTGCAGAGGCACAAACAACCTGTCATGGAGGAATACGTATCTTAAATGAGGCTTGGGACCCAACTCCCACCTGGTGGGGGTCTCTAAGCCCCACTGAGAGACACTGAGAAACACAAAGGGGTGCTGGAGGAAAGACCAAGAAGCAGGACATTAAAACATGTTGTCATTCAAGCCAAATGGCCAACAGTTCCCTTCTTTTAAGACTCTTAAATTCCAATTACTCCACCCCTGAAGACCAGTGGAGAATAACCCCAACTAGAGGGAATTAATTTCCTTAGGAATTTCACTAGTACAAGATTAATGGAGCCCCCCTGCAGAGAATGAGCAAAGCTGTAAGTACCGCAGATTTGCACCTGAAGGATACATATTTTAATTTCAGTTCTCAAGCTGCGATAACATCTTCTGAGCTACTATAAAAGCATAAATGAGCCCCAGCACGTCTGCTGAGAACCTGTTCACACAAAGCTCCCTGGGGGAGCCTCAGCCCACCTGGCCCAGCGGGAGACTGATCCCCCATGCTGCCAGCTTGGGCTTGGGTCATATAGGCGCTGAAGATGCAGTGGCCATGGCCTGGGCACAGGACTGGGAAAGGCCAAAGCAAATGTTCCTCCCCAAAGCCCCTGACCTGCCTAGATCAGGCTGACCCAGTCTAGAGCGGAATCCCTGGATGGGATTCTCCTAAGTTGGCCATTATCCCAGGTCACAGCCCTACTACCTACCTGGCATGACCGACACCAGTCCCCTGCCCCAGACAACTAGCCTGGACCCACAATGGGGGAACCCAGACATGGATGGCTCCCTCACCTTCCCCTTGTCACCAGAGTCCTACAGGGAATTTTACCCCTCAGCTTCTCTGGCCCCAAGGAATGGCTCTCCAGGCACAGCACCCTCCACAGGTGGGACTTGGGAACTATGTCTCACTAAACCATGACTGGACACTGGGTCAAATCAAGCAATCAGCCCCTTCCTTACGTTGGCCCAAGGGCCACCTGGCAATAGGGTCCCTTCTCCTGTCATTCTGATAACCAAGGACCAACCTAACGTGTGGAGGTGGGGTGAGCCGCCATGCCTTCTCTCTTAACCCTTACGGTGGGGACAAGTCAGCCAATTTCCTGTACTCTCTTCCTTACCAGAAACTGTTTTTATTGGGAGAACCTGATGTGTATGCTTGCTATAAAGGTTGTTTATTCTGTCATAGCTAGATTTTTATTGGTTGTATTTTTGCTGCACTTGCTTGAAAAATAATTATTTTCAAAGAAAAGAAGAATTACATATCCAGTAAACTAAATAAGACTCACTGTTTATTAGGGACCTCTGACAGCTCCTCAAACGTGAAAAAAGATTTCCAAGCAGTGAATGGACAATTTATGTGCAAGTTTATTTGTAAAACAGATTTCAAGACATACTTCATCTTGACTCTGCCAATAAAAATACATTCCATTTCTTTTCAGAAGTATGTGCTATCTGATGGTTTCACAGTAATCTGGTTTCCCCCTAAGAAGATCAGACCGGCTGCATCAGCATGTGCCCACTAACCTAATCTAGTTCCAGCTTTGGTTTCAACATTGTGGGACTGCTATACAAGAAAAAAACAAACAACAACAACAACAAAAAAAAAAAAAACTGTGATCATGTCCCATAGAGTCCCATAAGGCACTCTCTAGAAGGAATACATTTGTGAGAAATGTTGTTCATAAATCTTAACCCAGTCACTGCAGTCTCCAAAAATTCTTCAGTAAAAATAATTTTAAACATGTTTTGGTTTACAATTTATATAGGGGAAAAAAATCTATCTTGGTAGTTGACCACCCATTTTCTCTTCCCTATGTAAATTCTCATCACCTCTCCCCCATCAAGGACCAGCCCAGGAGCTGGTCACTGTTGTAGGTTGTAGAGCAGCTTCCAGGCTGCAGGTGGCATCCGCTGCCTCTCCGGGTTGGAGAAGGAGCTGCCTTTGTTGAGCGGTTTCTTTATTCACCCCAGAGAGACCACTGTTGAGAATTAACACACTGACTTTGGTCTGCTGTCTCTTTGGAGGCTCTGCTGAGCCACCCAGAGCACCTGCTTTTTCCCCTAACCCCCAAACTTTTAACACTTTCCCCACCCCTTTTTGTTCCAACCAGCTGTGTATTTGAGATCCTGTAAATGTCACTAGTCTGGACCATGCCTGCAAAAGCATGCTAGCATGGGGTAGACAGGATGGGGATGGAAGGAAGAACTCAGCACAGGGCTGTGCATTGACCATTCCCACATGCATCCGGACTTCCCCAGGGCCGCTGCCGCATGATCACCCAGACACACATTCCACTACAGTTCACAGCACCAAGCATGCAGAGCCTCCACATGTGTTTATATGCAGCTGTGTCCTCTTTTGAGTCAAAATGTTTTACAAATAAAGTGCTGTGTGTGTGCGTGCGTGTGTTTGTTCTCCAACTCCATTGATAGTCAATTTTCTCCTCTTGTTTTTAATTATTATTTCCTATCTAAGAAGGTAAGGACAGGAAAGTAAGGACACAGATGAACTTGCTTTAGGTCACAAATAAGACCACTTGTAAAATCAGAAATAATCCCTTAGGGATCTAAGAAGTTTAGCCAGATACACTCAGGCTGCATGGCTCCAACACTCCTTGGCCCTTCCAGACACAGGGTTCCACCCACGTTTCTTCCCCTGGGTACACAGGCCCCTCTTTCCCACTCACCCAGGTCCTCTTCTATACAGGGCTTTGGTATGAAGATGCCCCCTCCCAGAGTACCTCTGGAGTGTCCAGCAGACACCAGGCACATTTGCCCCTCCTCCCTGCGGAAGGGATTCTGGGTAGAGATCAGGAAAACACACCCCTTAGAGACAGCTCCTCTCTGACCAGAGGGTAGGGTAAGTAGCTGGTGCTGACACGTGGCAGAGGCCAGCACAGCCTGGAAACCTAATCCACTGAAATGTAGTGAAATCAATGACCACCACAGTCCTACCTGCCCAACTTCTTCCAACGTTTGCCCCATTATCTGAAATATAAGAGGTTTTCCTCTGGGGGCAGGAAAAGGATCACCGATTATTATATTATTACTTGTCATCTGAATTTATTTCTCATCTCTTCCAGAGTTGTCCAGCTGGGGCTGTGTGAGTGTTGTCCCACCGTGAACGGACACGTGGAGCCCCGCAGGCGGGAGCCACAGGACTGGGTGCTCTCAGCACCCTCCCCATCCAGCCCTGGAGTCCCCTGGCAGTGTGAGCAGCTGATCTAACCAAAGCTGGGGCAGATCAGAGAGGTGGGAAACAAGGAAACGCCCCTGGAAGATGTGAACACCTTTGGACTTGCTTCATACTGGAGGGACTCCTCAACAGAAGGGGCTTCAAACACATCCCTACTTGGGATTTAAATGGCAGGGAATGCATTTTCTGTGAAACCATGGCTGGCTCTGTTTCTTCTTCTAAGGCAAAACAAAAAAGAAAGGAAAAGCAAGCCACTGAATGTCACGGGCCACACAGGCCCCACGATCCCAGAATCTGTCTAAACATATAAACCATTTATACGGTTGGTATTAATATTCTCCTGACGAAGTCACTAATTTGGTGAAATCGGGCTTATTTTCATCAAAAGAAATATTCACATATTTTGGTGGCAACATTACCTTTGGACTTTCCAGCTACAATATTGTTTTTTTTGTTTTTGTTTTTCAGTTCACACCAGCTGCAATGACTGAGAAATGAATAAGAGGAGACAATAATGGGGAGTCAGTCATCTTCCTGGGATGAGGCAGATGGGTTGGACCCCAAAACAGGTGTCCCTTTTCTCCATGGAGCTAAAAGACAGAGCCGTGCTCAGCCCTCTCTGGCTGAATCTGCAGAGACAGGACAGTGACAACTCTGCCAGCCAGAGCCCATCAGAAGTCTGGCTGTGAGCAGGTGGCAATCCTGGGGGCTGCTGGTAGGAGGCAAAGGGCTGCCTGCAGCCTCGGGGGTCTTCAGTGGCCTGCTAACCAACCGAGCCCTCTGGGTGGGAGCCCCATTTTCTTAACCACTATTTTATTCCTATTGTCACAAACTCTTCAGCCTTCTCTGAGACTGCTGGACACCAAAGCGAGGTTGTCATGAATGTGGTGGAGATCTTTATTTTCTAGTTCCCATACACACTATATCATCACATCATAGTGACACTAGAGGAGACCAGACTCCCTCTTGGGGGGAGATTCACAGATGTATTCCTGGCCACAGAGTTCTCTCTCCTCTTGAATCAGGTTATTATATCATTCCTTACCCAGAGCTGAGTTCTTATTGGCCATAACTGTATTTACCCTACAGAAACATGTCCTTTTATGACAGGTATAAATATTAAATAACAATGCTCTGGAATGAATACTTGGTCACTCAGAGAGCTGGATGAATTCCAAATGAATCCCAAGTCCTAATCTTTCCTTAAGTAAAATGTTCCATTTTAAAAGATGGCCATAAACATCTTCAGCACTATTTAGCAATCCCTTTGGAAGGGGCTGATCTCTTACTTACTGGAGGATGTGGTATGTGAGTTTGCCTGTCTTTGCTTTTGTTTTATAATTTCAAATAGTCAGGAAATATTGCATTCACTGGCAATCAATTTATTTTGATTGATAAAAAGGGGTTAATAAAAACTCCCTTAGAAATAAAAAGAAGGTGAATAGTAATATATCTTTCATGGTGCCTTCTTTCAGCTGTGCATAAAGAGAACAAGCTTTTTACTTCTCCCCAATAAGTCTTCTCCTCTTATTTTCTATACCTAGTGAGTCATTTATAATCCTTATTATTTCCAACCCACACACTAATGCAGCATCAGTCATATTTCCACATGCTGTGTTTTTTCCTCCTTACTATGTTCTGAAAGCTGAAAGGGAAAAACACCCTCTAATTTATATGAAAATGCATACCAAAAATGGATTACCAAACATAACCAATGTGACTTCAGACACTTGAAAATAAAGAAATTTAGGATGAAATATAAAACATCATGCTGAAGTTTCAATCTATTGTTAAAACAAAGTCTAACAGAAAGTACACTGCTGTGTGGCATTTAGCAAACATTACCAGGCTATTAGAAGCAGAAATAGATTAAAATGAGATACAATTAATGAGTTTCATTCAAATGTGAAGCTATTGATTTTAGAAGGCATATTTGAGAGTATTAATGTTTTTATTTATCTACAGAACCTATGAAAAAATGCAAAATGAGAGATTGTAAAATCCTTGCCTACTATATGTAGCAAGTGTTTACAGTTACTTTACGGGTTGGATGTAGACACATACATTATATGGTATCATATAAATCTCTAATTTGCATGAGTCACAAAGTCTTTCAATATTAAATTCCTGTTTTGGGTCATCTTTACAGAGTACACTTAAAAATTTTATTCCACAAAGGTATTTACGGAAGTCGAAAAACAGTGGGTTGTTATTTTATTATTATTTTTTTCCTCAATAAAGCATGCTAGATTATTATAAGGCTTGCATGTAGAACAATCTGTACTGAGTCTTGCCATTAAAAAAAAAAAATACAGCCTAAGCTAAAATGACATTGGAACAAACCCTTGACCTTCACTAACACAAGCATGTGGCTGACCTAAGGAGAACATCCTTCTGATCTAATCCTCTTGGGATAGAAAAACCAGACTGTCCATAGTGAGAGAACAGTGCTAAAGCCCTCACAGAAGGTGAGAGACAAGGGGCAGCAAAGCTTAGGACCCCTGGAGACAAGCCAACCAGCCATTCTTTGGCAATACTGACTTGCAAACATAAGAAACAATTATAAAGATGAGAAGTGGTCTGTGCACGGCTTTCACATTCTCATTATGCTGTTTTTCCATTTAACATCCCATCCATGTTTGCTCCAACAGGGCCTCCTTAGCCACTAACAGTCACAGAGGAGGCAGGAGGGCAGAGGTATCCTCTCCTGGAGGCCCTCCAAACACCACGGGCCACTCACTCACCAGCCTTGTGCTGAGCACCCACACTGGGCCCCTGTGCTTGGCACAGGACACAGGGCTAAACATTCAGCTCACTCGGCTCACCAGCAAGGCAGATGAGCAAGCAGGGGGCACCATTAAAGCCAGCAGATTCTGTGGAGCATCCAATGCCAGGAGCAGTGAGAGGGACAAACCTGGAGCCTCCATGGCTCTTCCACGGAAAAGGCCTGGGGGAGAGATGAACATTGTCTGGATGTTGAGCAACAAGAATGGAGGGTAGGAGGAGAGGGCAGGGACGACTTGAAGTGAACACAGGAGGAGGAGAAGCCTGATGTGCCAAGGGCTCCTGGTTCCTGAAGGTACATGCCCGCTCCAGGAAGGTGAAGGCCAGGGAAGATGGAGGGAGGCCCTGACCTGCAGACCCTTAGGAAGGCAAAAGTCCTTAATTGCAGGTTGCTATGTGCAAGCCACTTCACACCCAAAGGCACAAATCCACAAGAGCAGAGGCTGTCCACAGCAGAGATACACCTGAGAAAGCCACTCTCTGACCTGCATTCCCCAGGAGAGCACCTGCAACTTCTGCCCTTGGGTAACGGAGGGAGCTGTAGCTGCTTTTATTTTCACCTAAGCCACATTGCCGCTTAGTAAGAAGTTATCCCACAGGAACTAGAAGCCATAGAACAGCAGGAAGGTAGGAAAGGAGACCGTGTGCTCTGCATTCAGGCAAGCTATTGGATCACTTTGCAGTCCTAAACCAATGGGCAATATCTCTGTGACTCAGTCTTGTTTATCTGAACATGAAGATAGATCTGCAGTGTCATTGGAGGAGTCACTGAGATCAAAGAAGCCAAATTGACCAGCAAAGTCTCTAGTTTAGACAACTATTTCCTGAGTGCCTACCATATGCCTGGCCCTGCACAGTGAACAAGCATTCTGGTATGTGGAGGATGCAAAAACTCAATCAGTCAAAAGAATATTAGGGCACAGCAGGGACTGCTGGAGACTGGGAGTAGGCACTTACAAGAGGAACACCAGTGGCTGCTTTAGATTAGGTGGTCGGATGGACAAAGCTCCTGTTGGGCAGGGACACTTCAGTTGAAAAATGAAAAACAGGAAGCAGACCAGGTGTAGCATAGGGGAGCATCCCAGACAAAAATGACAACCAGTATTATATCATAGCTAAAGAAACAGTACACTCAAAAAAAAAAAAAAAAACAATAAAAACAACAACAACAACAAAAAAACCTTATACTAGTGCCCAGGAAGGGCTGGGAATTTCTTAGGAGGAAGAGAATAGGAAGGAATTCTACAGCACACCTACTGTAAGCCAGGATCTGCTCTATAGATTCTCCATATACCGTCTTCTACTTCCCAACAGGATGATCAGAGGTAGAAGTTCCTAAAGGAAGTCCTTGGGAGTTTGAAAGGGGGAAAAACAGAAGTAATATCTTTGCAACAGCTGCGTGAAAATGGTTACTGGAGGTGCCCGCCAACTTTAGGAGTAAGTGTGGCCAGGGAGGAAGGAGGCAGAGACCCACCCTTAGGAAGGCGGAAGCCCTTAATTGTGGGTTGCTGTGCACAGGCCACTTCAAATACAAAGGCATGTGTCCAGAATGAAGAACCAATGCTGTCCACAAAAGAGATGCAGTTGAGGGCTTATCAAAGAGAGTGCTGGCTACTCCAGAGGGACCTCGCAGAAAGCAGAGAGCATCCCACTTTCATAAAGCAAAAAGGGGACAGTGATCTGGCAGTTAAAGCAGCATACTCAGGACTGGAAATAGAGAAAAGAAGGACTGGGGCTCCAGCCACCTCCTTCCTGAGACACTTCCCATGAAGGTGGGTGCAAAAGGAGTTAATGATGCATGGAAAAGTTACTTCTATTTTAATAGTTAATGAATTTTCATTGTGGTAAATATGTATCACACCAAATTTGCCATTTTAATCATTTTTAGGTGGGTGGTCAGTAGTGTTGAGTACATTCACAATGGTGGGCCACCACACCACCACCCATTTCTAGGACCGCTTCTCTCACCAAACTGAAACTCCCTACTAAACGCCTATCCCCATTCCCCTGGCCATAGCCCTGGCACTCACCCTGCTACTGTTTGCCCATAGTGCCCAATACAATCGGACTCAAAGATCTTTTTATGGATAGCTTACTTCACTTAGTCGTCAATGTCCATCCATATGCCAGCATTTCTTTCCTTTTAAACCCATTAAGTCCCAATTTTACAATTCTGCCAATATTTCAGTGAAACAGACATTAAAATAGGTTGGAAATCATAATCTAGAAACTATATATTATTTTTTCCATTTTATTGGTGCATCGTGGCCCATATATTATTATACACCAACTTAAGCAATATTATGATTATTAGATGATTACATTTGAATCCTATATATTTTAAAGTTTGTATAGGAGTTCCACATCTGGGACGATGTGACAAAAGGGGGAAAGGCAGAATGGCATTACATCACTGCACGTACTGCACCTTCTGCCCTCACTCATCCACCAGTGGAGCTAGGGTTGCTTCCGTCTTTTGGATAAGGTGGCAAATTCTGTGATGGACATGGGCGTTCCTGTGCTTTCAGTGATTTCTGTATGTACATATGGCTTATATGGTGATTTTATATTTGAGGAAACAATTTCAGTAGCAGCTGTAGCACTTCATATTCCTTTCAACACACGAGCATTCCTATTCATATCTGATCCAATACTTTTTGTTATTTTCATTTTCTTTTGATAGCCATCCTAATGGACATGAAGTGGTATGTCAAGATGGTTTTGATATGCACTTCCCTAATAACTGATGATGTCGATCATCTTTTCAGTGCTTACTGGCCATTAACATATCTTCTTTGGGGAAAAGCTATTCTAATTCTTTATTTTTTGTTACTGGTAATTTGTAGGTGTTCTTTAAGTTCTGCACATTAACCCATCATGAGATACATAATTTACAAATATTTTCTTCATTTCATGGGTTACCTTTTCACCAAATATCATTTAATATACAAACATTTTAAAATTATTTATTTTTTTTAGTTGTCAATGAATCTTTTGTTTTATTTATTTATATGTGGTGCTGAGGATTGAACCCAGGACCTCACACATGCCAGGTAAGCACTCTACCAATAATACCAATAAGCCATGACTCCAGCCCTTAAAATTTTTTTTTAATCAAACGTTTTAAATTCTGATGTAGTCCTATTTATCTATTTTTCTTTTATTCACTATTGTTCTGGCATCATATGCAAGAATCCAATGTCATGAAGCTTTTCCTACATTTTCTTCAAATAGATTATATATTCACTTTAACATTTAAATAATGAGCATTTTAAACCATCATTTTATAAATGCTATGCACTATTTTTTAAATTTTCAAAAATTTAAATGTTGAGAATTTAAATTAATATATAACAAACAACAAAGAGAGGTTTAACATACATACCCTTTACAGTGAGCTCCCAAATGAGTGATGTTGGTAAATTGTGTGCTAAGCTAAACTGCATTTCTTATTTTTTAGTGCTGGGGATCAAACTGGGTCTCTGTACAGTAAGGCAAGTGCTCCCTCATTGAGCTACATCCCCAGACTAAGATGCATCCTTCTAAACATACCCACTGCTTTATTGGCTCATAGACTTGAGTTTCTTCCTCTCATTGCCTGGGAAATGGCTCTGAGGATGATTCAAACACCTTCTAGAGAAGAAAGGGTGTTCCAATGGAGTGGCTCATTTGAATATTCCATGCTACCACAGAAACCTAAGTTGTTTACTGTAAAATCTGACCTAAGAGATCTGAGGAGAAAAAGCCAAATCCTATTAATCCAACAAGATTTCATTTGCACCCCTATAAGGAATCTTGAAATGAACCAATCTGCTATTTTTTTTTTTCAGAGTAGAAATTAGAAGTTTATTAAAGGACAGCAGAAAAGACTTCTCCCGGAGGAAGAAGGGGACCCAAGAGGTGGAATCCGACAATCTGATATTTATGGGGCCTGATTTCCTCCACTTTTGTTGACCTGTAAAACTCATCCACTCTGTCTATCTCATTGGCACCCCTTTCTATTTTGCAGACTAGATGCTGCCTAGTTCATGACTTCCTAGTAAGAACGAATTATATCTTTGGAACCTAAAACTTGTTGAAATTTTGTTCTTTCACACATCTGTAAAGTAGCCATAAGGACAAAGGCTGGTGATACTGAAACTGGATAACAAAGCAAGTCATCCAACCTAAAGAGCAAGACAAAACATGTTTTGAAAGTAGAAGGAAGTAGTATAAGTCCACAACAATGCATTAAATCAACTCTGAAATGAAAATGTTCTGAAAATCATGAGGTTTTTTTCTCCTCCCATGTTTGGAGCAACCCTGTGTGAACCGATGAGACTATAATCTTTATATATCACAGTCAGGATAAATATTTTGAACAGTCACACATTTTTGCTGTAGAAATGCTTGGTTGTAGGGTCATAGCCCAGATCCCGTTGAAAGTTTTTATAAAACGCAGTATATATACCTCCCCCTTTAAAAAAATTCAAACATTTTTGAATTCTAAAAACACATCTGGCCCCAAGGGTTTTTGATACTGGATTGTGAGCCAGCAGTGGCAGTACTGTTTAATAGAGCACTTGTGTCAGACATGCTTCTCCGGTACTTTGTATGTAAACGTCTCCCCTAGTCCTCACCACTCCCTATCAGTCATCATCATCATCTCTTTCAAGGGAGGGAACTGAGTTAGGTTAGCTCCTTAATTTGCTGAAGATCATGTAGCAAGTAGCCTGAGTACGGCTTCATGCATTTCATCAAAACAGGGCTTTGTGACAAATGATG